TGTTCCAGTTTAATTGTTCGCAGAATCTGTAATCCCCAGCGTGGGATATAGAATTCGTTCGTTCCAGGAATTGCGTAGAATACACTGCCGTTTCCAATATTCCCACGCAGAATCTGGTCGCAGTTTATAATACATCGGAATAAACATCACCGAAGAGCTCGCATTCAGAACACAGTGCTACATTGCCTTTAAATGAACCACTTCTTATTTTAAAATTCCCACAAAATCATCAATTTGAAGCACGAAAAAAAATATAGAGAGAGAGAGAAAGTAGTGAGGGGCGGGGGGTTGCGATAGGCACCACAGTTTTAACGGGGAATGGGACTAATTTTGATTTTGATTTACGAAAGTCCCCAGACAGTGCCCACTCGCCCTCTGGTAGAGATCACTAATTTTGATTTTGATTTACGAAAGTTCCCAGACAGTGCTCACTCGCCCTCTGGTAGAGATTGGTTTAGTAAAGGTGATACATTTGGAAGCATAAGGGTGGGGTAATAGCTAAATAAAGAGTACTTAAATACCTAGTCCGTACCGCGAAGAAAACACAACACTTCACCATTGCAAAACATCATCTGGTTAACGCTGTTTAAGGAAATAATCGCTGTTTATTGAGTGAATGATACGAAATCTGTAAATATATTCTTGGTAAAACGAATAATTACTTCATATTAAAGTACGGGGTATAAAAAGTTAGCACTGTGTTTTAAGAGGGCAGTAAGCTGGTTTACGTATTAATTTTTATTGTTGAATAATAACACTGTACGAAGCTACGCCGTCATTAAAAAGAGCCACTTTCTAACATTGATAGCTGATGATTATAAAGGACGCAGAACGAGTTAAATTGCTCGCTCAAAAAACGGGTAACAACTTCATAGCTTGCTGTATGTACCCAGAGTTTTAATCATGTAATCAGTATATATAAAGAAAATTCTCAGGAATTCTTTCGAAATGGCTGAATGCATTTCTTCGAATTTTGAAGCCTCAAATTAGCTCCTGAAATCCATTCACTCAGTTTGTAAATAAATCACCGCTTTTCATGAACACCAGAGGTTCATTACCGTATTTACAAGAGACCACCAGTGGATAATTTATTCCTTTAGATGAATAACGTTCAAGCGAACCACAAAATTAGTTGCCGGATTCTACCACAGGCAGTTAACCTACATTTGAAATTGCTCTGTATCAATGTCGAGAAAAGATTTCAAGCGATAATATGCAGATACAGAGAGCATTTCCTCGAAGAACACCCGGGGGAGGAGAAACGAGCAGAAACTGTTGTAAATGAAAAAAACTTCAAACTTGAAGCGACATGTACGAGAAGCGAGACCTTATATTAGCAAAAGCACTTTGTTACAGTATTCACAGCGATTGACAACAAAATTCAGATTTCTTTTTGTAAAGCTATGAGCTGGATGCACTTAAGACATTAGAGATCGACTCACTACACCGTTTTTAAGACAAACGTTTGGCCAGATGATGACAATGACGTCGAAACATGTCGACAATAAATTTCAGGCCTAATTTGTACGCAATTAACAGTTTATTTGTAAAATAGATGGTAATTAATTATGTAACAGAAAAAATAATTATAATATTATAGAATATAAAATAAAAATATTAATTTTTATCTTCCGTTGTATATGAAATAGATTGTTTGAAATTGTTAAAATAATATAATGTACAGTCGACGATATTCCCGAGTGTGTACTACTAAGAATATATTTATGGAAAATATTCCATTTATGTGAGGTATAAAAACTGTAAAGCCCAATTGAGTTTGAACGAAAACCCCATGAAAAATTCATGAGCTAGGTTTCAGTTCTCATACGAGCTGAATACTAAGGAACGCCACTGATAATATTCACGCTCAAAATTTTCCAAAAGGGATAAAAATTACTTTTTAATGATTTTGTAGATTTAATCATTCAAAGTTTGTTTTGACTGAAAACAAATTTATTCAAAATAATTAAACAAAAAAAAAAACAATCAGACAGCGACATGGTTATTGCGTCTAGTGAATAAACAATCTTTAAGTGAATTTCTTACCCAAAGGCTTTCGTATATTTTTGTACATCTCCTAGGATTTACATTTAATGCTTACCAACCGTAAACAATTAGTGATTAATTACTTTATGAATATTACTGACATCTGTCTACGTCTCTCTGCATTAATTTGTTTATCTTTGCCTTTTATATCGTTAATTCAATTACACATCTAATATGGACAGACAGACAGACAGACAATGCATCTTTCAAACACACAACGTGATTTAAGAAACAAAACATTGGCTTCTGTATGAAGTATTCTACAACTCCTACAACATTCTCTTATTTCTTTCTGTGAAATTGTTGAAAAATTTGTATAATTCTACCAGTGTTTTAAATTTCTAAGAATATTCTATGGAATATGTTATTGGAAAAATGTAGTCTTAGCCAGTATCGATAATCAGTCTATGGAATTTCAATCGTTGTAAAACAAAAGATTTGACTGATCGGAAAGCAGATTTTACAATCAAAATTCTTTTATCAAGTCATTGCTACGCCTTACGTATAAAATTACATTAGCCCGAAATATCAAAAACGTAATTTCAGACCATAATTATCAATCCACTGAAAATGGTAAACATGACCTACATTCACTGTTTACTTGTCACCTACGAGAATATTAACATAAATCAATGTGTTGACGTACCTTCTGTCAGTAATTAATTTAGTATAAATGGTGACTGCATATAAAAACGCTGGCATTGCTAATATTGGATGATATCTGATGCCTGTGTTTATTATTACGATGCTGACGACACAAACTTGTAGTTGTCACTACCGCGTATCAGCATGATGGATGCCAGTTTCTCGCGCTGTGTTCGTAAGTGTATAAGAAATTTTTAAGCGTTATTAAAATGTATATGAGCCGGGATAGCTCAGTCAGTATAGTGACTAGCTACGGGCTGGACGACCGGGGTTCGATCCCCGACGGGGGCAGAGGATTTTTTTCCTCTAGCCTCTGCGTCCAGACC